TAGGTCACATGATGAAAACTAGAAAATAGTATCTGGGCTACTCTGGATGACAGACACAGACCTTACTTTTATCACCACAAACTAAAACTTTCAACCATTATTGTCTTGGGTGGAGGCAGAAATCTAACAGGTGCATATCTTTAATCCCAAACTATCTGCATGGCTTTTGGTCGACTGACACAGTTGTAGTGAATCACTGTTGCAGAGGAAACAAACAGACACTTGATAATATAATATTACAACAGATCGCTTCTTTAAAGTCTCTGAAAGGTGGTACAGGGAGGTCAAGTAGGGTTTGGATGTTGTGTGCGAACTGAAGAGGACGTCGCTGTGGGCTAATAGCTGCCCTGACCTTGGCTTTTAAATGGCTTCACATCTGCAGGGTATTTAGTTTGCTGTGAGAGTTGGAGGAGGGCCCAATGTGTTTCTGAGTGTGTGTGTGTGTGTGTGTGGGCGGATGGAAGGGGGCGAACACAATCGCAGCAACAGCTGTCTGAAAAGTGTAAGCCATTAGAGAGAAAGCCAACAGATATGTTGAAGGATAGCTCCAGATTATTACAACTTGGGTCTTATTTTTTGACGCAATTTTTCGATCGATAATAATAACATTATGTTCACTAAGATTTTTGACAAGACACATCTAAAAATGAGTCAGGACAAAAACAGACAATCAGACAGGTTGGAAACAAACTCTCATTTAGCCAAACTGCCAACCTTTTGATCTACTGTAATTACCGTAGTTTATTCAGTCATGTGGAATTGAGTATCAAGTGAATTATTACAATTATAAGTATTTTGATAACTGATTGTTTATTGATCAAAAGTTATTTATAGCCATAAATACCAATCATTTGCTGTGAGAATTAGTTTCTTTTCTCTTTTTATGTCTGAAGATGATTTGTTCAGACTGCAGATCAGACCTCTAAGACAGACTGTTATTTGCAAGGGATCAGATGGGATTTGTGTGTCAATAACAGTAGCAGCCTGATTGTGCTGAGCCGCTCTGATGCCCTTCCACTGATATGAGCGGCCGAAGCATCTGGAGTGAGAAGCATCTGTAGAAATCCGATTGGAATTGCATTTCAATCCACCTGCAAATGTGGTTGGATTTCATGTAGTTTGTTGCTGTCTGGACTTTCTCATATCAGTGTGGATACAATCTAGATATGAAAAAAAAAACAGATTTGGGCTGGCAGTCTGAAGAGCCTGAAGGGTTAATGCACTCATGGAGGTGTTACATGAAATGTGATGAGCGATTTCCCAGGAGGCAAAGCAGCAAAAGAGCGAGCAGAGCACGGATGGCTTAAATTAACCACCATAAGGCTGCGTTGGATATTTTGCAGAATGTCGTGTGAGAGTAGCAGTGGACTGGAGCTGAAGTCAAAGTTCAAGCAGGCCTCACTTCATTTGTGTGCACACAACTTTCCTACACAACAAGGGACTATTACCTACATTTAGAGTGCTCTCACTTCCAGTGTCTCCAAACACTGTAGAATGGGTAAACAACCTGTCTGATCGGCTGGTTGGTTGTGTTTCTTCCACTCTCTGGGTTTGAGGTTGAGTTTGAGTACAATGTGATTATAACTGACAGAAACGATGGCCAACAATAGGAACAGAAGACCCACTGTTAAACCTAACCTTTACATGTTTACTTTAAAGGAATAGTTAGACATTTTGGGGAGTACACTTTGTTCGCTACCTTGCCAATCTGTCTAACAATATGAAGCTGCAGCCAGCAGACAGTTAGCTTAGCATTGCATAAAGACTGGAACCTGCGGGAAACAGCTAGTCTCCCTGTATTTTTTACATTGAAGAGAGTGGTATTGATTTTCTCCTCTAACTCCCAGCAAGAAAGTGAATGAGCGTATTTCCCAGAAGGTCAAATTATTGCTTTACTGTCCACAAACGTACACATGGACACCGGTGCCGAACATTAGTGCCCATTGAATTTCCATAGACTAGAAGGAAAGAAAGAAAGAGTTGATGCTTATGTGTGTGTTTATAATAGAAGAAGATAAGGAGAGAGCACACTGTTATTTTTTCAGTGGACTGGCAGGGTCTGAAATGCAGATGCTTCAGTGTCTTTAGAGTTTTGTCCTCCCTAATGGCTTCTGCAGACAGCCGGGGCCAAACATCTCATTTGCATAATTCATTTCACTTCACAGCGCCTGACAAATGCCTCCAAACTTGTCGCCTCTCTGTGAAATCGGAATATTTCTTCGGCTCTCCCGCAGTGTGCCGATTCGGCAAATTAAACCAGAGAAGCAGGGGTTTTTTTGTTTGTATTTTGGTGTTTCGCAGAGGGGGAGGGAGGAAGGGCCACCAAATCAAGCTCAAAAGAAAAGATGGTGGGAAAAAATTAAATGGAGTAAACTCCTCACAAAACAAGTGTTGTACTTTTCAACAATCATTCTCTCTTCAGCTTGCACAGTCATGAAAACGCTAAACTGTGGAGAGCAACAGAGTTGTTCTTTTCCTATGTATTCCAGGTTCTGTCATTCAAAGCAAACCTGCATGATGAAAGTGGATGAAATGCTCACAGATGTCCAATGGGCTGTCACACAGCTCTCTGCCTCCCTCTAGTGGTACAGTGCAATAACAGCAGCTTATTACACCAGAAAAAGTGACAAGCAGCAACTGATCACGGTTCAATATTTGCACACGTTATAAAAAATTTCACTGACTTAAACCTAAACAACATTTTACATTTATTCAAGTCTTAAATTATTTATCTATTCCTAGTTCAGCCTTTTGTGAGATGAACTGCTGTATGCTACTGTAAGTAAGTAAGTTAGTAAGTATGCAGTAGTTGTTGTTGCAAAAGTTTCATTGGTCCAATTAATCTCTTCAAACCTGTGACCCATCAGATACTAACTCCTGCTTAGCAGGCAAACGGCGTTCAGACCCACATAAGTTTCCTTTAGGTTCCCGTACAGAACATATGCTGTATGTGATACTGTCAGACAGGGTGGAGGGTTAAAGAGTGACACAATGATTTGTTTTAAATCTCAAAGCTAGTTAAGGTGAAATAAAAGTATTAAAAGAGAAAAATTGGAACAATAGGTCAAAGCACTGGGAAATGATTTTATATAAACCTGGACTAGTCTCACCTCCCTTATCAACAACTGGAGAAACTGGATTGTGTCAGTGATGCATTTGTGTTGTGAGAGCAACATTAATGACAAAGCCCAGCTTCAAATGTCTGCCAAAACAAGCAAACTTATTATTATTATTATAAATCCATTCATTAATTGAGAATTGGATTTCACTTTCATTTAAATTATATAGTTACATTCAATAAAAACTCTGTTCCACTGGTGCAGACTGCACTTGAGTTTTTCTTTTCTCTTGCACCTTTGAGGTTTTGATATAAAAAAACTTTGATATAATTTTACTCATATTTGTAATTTTTTTGACATCCAATTGCTAAAAAGACTTTTATTCTCTGTACTTCATACAAATACAAACAAAACAAAACAATTTAACATTCCTCCTCTCCCTCATTGATTAAGATATGATTACAATGAGACCACAGTTCATGTAAAAGCATAATTCTGTTCTGTGGTTAGTCTGTATTGCAGGTTGCAGTCTTGATTCAGCCAATATACACATTCCTGAGTATTTTATTCAATAACATTTCTGGTATGGACTTAACAGCCCAACAGCTACATTGTTAGCATGAGCAGTAATAACCCCCAGGCTGTGACTGCCACCTGCAGGAACTCAAATCTCAACGGATAATACAATGACGACAACACAGCTTGAGTGACAGCTGATATCTGGTGCATGCAAACGTGTGATTATCACAAAAACACAACAAAATTAAAAATCAAAAAACAGAATCTAACCCATTGCCACTAGAAAACACCCTGTCTACTTCAGCTCACACACCTCACATTGAGGAGAGTCATGGTTTCAGTATCCAGGAACACTCCTCCTACGTCCTTGAAAGTCGGCTTAACTGACATTGTAGTACTGATGCTGTTATGCCTGAATTTATAATGCCCAAGACTTGTCATTGTGTCCAAATGCACTTTCATTATAGCTCCCTGATCTGCAAATATTCTTGTATGCAACAGCTATTCTAATGCATCCAACTTCACCTCGAAGTAACAACTTACAGTCAGACTCTCTCTACTCAGGACTTGATAGTTATGAATGAATCTAGTTGAGGAATGAAAACCTAAAAAATTAGAGTTCATTATTGTTTCCCTTAGATAACATAATCCAGGGGTGTGCTGTATTGGGATCCATTGTGTTTTGGCGTGCATACTGTAAGAATTCCTCTCTGTTTCTCAGTTGTTGTATAAGCAGAGCATCCACTTCAGTCACTGTCTGTGAAATCTTTGGCCATTCCTCACTCATCTGCACATCCAGTAGTTTATCTCTGACCTCTGACACAGCCACTGCCATACGCTCAGTACTGAAGAGGATGAGTTTTGGTGCTGGGTAACCCTGTAGACTCACTGAGACTGTGACACTGTAAGAGTAAGGAGTCATTTTGTAGAAACTGGGTGTGGTGCGTCCCTGTGCTGTGACAGCTTCTTCATCTCAGCCGTCTCTCCTCTTCAGCCTCAGTGATCTCTTGCTCATGCTTCTCCTGAAGGCTCTTTGGACTCGACTCACTTTCAGTTTTCCTGCTGGGAATCTGACACTGCTGCTTCACATCAGAGCTTCTTTTCTGGATGAGGACGGATCAGGGCTGAGTGAAGATCTTCTCACTGTCCTCCACTGCCTTTATCAGCGGAGCGATTGATAGCCTCCACCTGCCTGGTTGAAGCTCCTTACATCATTTCTCTCTGTCCTGGCATTCTGCTGCTGGATGTTTTGTCGACTCACCTCGAGCTCTTCTGCCTCTCGTCCTTTCTGCTGCACTGAGACTTGAGGCTAATATTATCAAAAGGCATAACTAGTTAGACTAATACACGTCAATCTTTATAGCTGCTAGTTTAGCCAGCCAGAGAGTTAAGAAGGGTCAGCGTGTGTGTGTGTGTGTATACCTCTGTTAGAGAGTTTCTCCAGCAGTGTCCTGAAGCGTTGGACCACAGACGGGGAGACATCGTAGGTGTAAACCTCCTTCACCGGAACAGACTGACACCTTCCAAACATACCATCTGCCAACACACAAGCAGACACTTTAAGAATGTAACTCGCTGTCAAATTTAGCATTACAGACTTCAAAGGGCTAAATATGATCAACCTTTCATGTTAATGTTCATACAACCACGAGTCTGAAGTTAGTCTGTTGTATAGCGTGGTAGGTACTGTAAGTCTACAGTGTGAACAACACCACAGGAGACATCAGAACAACATATCAGGAAGTTGAACAGTTAACAACGAGGAAAGAATAAAAAGTGCACATTCAAATAAAAGAGTGAGTATTGTACATGCTGGGTTTAGCAAATAAAACCACCTGTTTATGGTTCGAGAAAGCTGGTGGTCCAGGTTAAACACTAACAGTGATGAACAGCCACACTGTACTGCTCTCACAGGCATATCAGCACTTCTGTCAGCACACACTGCACTACATTACATTAAATTGAATAATTGCTATGAGAGGAATTGTTCATGAAGGAGAAGTGAATCAGCACAAAGCGTTTCCGTGAAGTAGAATTTAGCTGAACTCTGACATTCAAAGTTGTATAATCAACTAAACTATTAAACTAATTCTCTGCACTTTTGGTATTAACTCATTAACTGGCAGCACACAGTAATCAGAGCAATAAGGACCTTGGGTCAACAACACAATGATGACCTGGTCGATTCACGACAGGTTAGTGACAAACCCACTGGAAACATAGTTTTCAAAAGTCAACCATTAATGAACTCATAATGTCACACTGACAAACACCGAAACAAATATAATGAACCACAGTAACATTGTGGTTTATATTTACCGTGTATCTGTCAGGTTGGACTTTGGGAATTTCTATATTTCATATATCTGGCAGCTGTTACACACATCCAGTGTATTACAAGAGCAAGTCAAGATTTGCATCCCTAATAGACCTTTTTCACAGCAGCCATTTTGACATGAAATGGTAAACACAGGTGTTAGAGATTCATTTAATGAAGGCTCCATTCCATTTAGTGTAGCAGAGCCTTTCCAGTGAGCCCGCATACACAACAGCAGCACCCTGACTCTGTCTGACCTGAACAGATCCTCAGTTTTTTGTTATGACCTAACCCTAAATGCTGGAGATTATACAAAAGTTCTCTTTCAACCATCTGCATGAATATCCGGACCCTTTTATCACTTTATTACTAAACATAGACCTCATGACACACTCAGTCTTACTTCCTTCCAAAAAGCCACACAGTGGGCAGTGTTAATGTGAGATGTAGGAAAGGCCAGCGGGGGGATGTCTCAGAAAATGAAGCCGTGGGTGGAGAAAGCATCTAGAAAGATGAGTCAAACAAACACAAACAGAGATATTCTCACTACCTGTTGAAAGACCACAAAGAAAAAGTGAGCGTGTGCTGCAGTGACTCTTTTGTAAGTAATAAACTCTGAACGGGCTCAAATGTGACAACGTTTAAATTTTCTATCGTGGTGTTTGTACCTGCCTGCAGCACAAGAGCAATCAGAGGGCCTCACTACAGTACTTGATTATAATGCTTACCGTTATCAAAGAATTACATCATTTTGCATATTACACTTGGTCATATTGAGATTTCAGTAATATTTCAAAATTGTTCCGCCTTACTCGTAACTACTCTTTTGATCATTTCTATATAAATAAAGTTGTTTACTTCCTTGAGATTTATTTTACAAAAGCAGATTTTTCCATGTGACACAATAAAGCCTGAGGCAGTGACCATTAAGGTCCACAAAAGTCCTAAATAACGACTAATGATGTTGTTACAAGTACACGGTTGATTCAAGTGCTATAATTTTATACAGAAAGAGTCACAGAACAGATATATTCTATATATTTTCAAATATATCTTGTTTTTTAGCAGTTTCTATTTTCCCAAATGTTTGTTGGAATGGTAGAGCTAGCTAACTTGTCATCTTAAATTTGGAGCTTAGCACAACATATCCTCCGGCCCTTTGCTCAACCTTTTATTCTGAAGGGAACGTCCACCTAAAAATAGAATTCACATCGCAGCTGCCTGCAGCCTTGGACAGCTCGATCGATGCCTGGAGCTGTTTTAGTAGTAGTGGCAGCAGTTATTGATCTACAGTAGTGGAGAGAACGAAACTCTGAGGACTCTGATGAGGCTGAGAAATCACCCCAAGATTCTGAAAACGTGCCGCTGCATCGCAAACACAGCTACACATTTATTTCTTGTTTTGTCTCAGTCGTAAATCCCAGTAAGAGCGAAGTCTGAGATACCAACAATAAACTGTGTTAGAGATAATTCAGCTTTCTCTTAATGTCAAGGGGTCAACCATCTGATGTCCACACACATTGACTGGATGCATATCACCAAAACACAAACAGTGAAATAGTAAAATAAGAAATATTTATATAAGTATTTTCCAAGAACAGTGGTTCCCAACCTGGGAGGCCGGGACTCCCACTAGGGGTCGTCTAAGCTTCATGGTGGTCGTGAGGCCTTCTTGATTTTAAATTGTGTATGAAAACGTCGTTTACATATTACTGAATTGTTCCCAGTTATGTTGTAGTGAGGCAGAAGTTAAGTTTAGCACTTCTGTTTTGAGAAGGATTGTGATTTAAGTTGAATATAAATAAACTTAAAGTTGTGTCTTGTGCTTCAAGTCACTTTGGACCAAGACCACAATCTTTCCTTAACCTGCGAGTAACTAAGCATAATCGTTGAAAATAGTTGAAAGTTGAAAGTTGAATAATGCTTTAGTCACTACGGGCAGATATTGTCTTCCAATATTGGATGTTTGGGCAGAAAAAGAAATGAATAGTGATGAGTTCAGTTGCATCATTTGTGCGACTTGGCAGATTCTTTAATTTCCTCATTATATCAATCTAAACATAATCTGGGCGGCAGTACATTTCCTTTAAAACGTATTTGCTATTGCAAATTAGTTGCACATAAATGTGATTTCGAAGATTGTTTGTGTTATATGCTTTAAACTATAATTATTTGCAATACATTCTTATTATCCTATATGTTGTCACATACATTATTTATGGTAAAAGTGCGAAGGGTGCAAAATTTGCTAGAAATAGGAAAGCCGTTTTTTTTCCCCGTTTGTTGTTCTTGCCTCGCACTGCATATCTGCATGAATGTGTGTGTGCATGTATGTGGGAGAGCGTGTATGTTGCATAAAAGCCCTTTTACATGGTAATTCAGGCCTCCTGACTATAAATAGCCTCTGCGTCACTGTGGTCGTTTCAATCAAACTGCAAGCTCCATTTAACAGGCAGCTAAGGATGACCAGCGGCTGGTCCGCGCTGCTGTAATTACTCTCAAATGTTTCACTGAGTGCATATTCTGTTGTTTACAAATGAGACGGAAGAAAATGATGTGCTGTGGGTGTAGGAGGAAGGGTGAGGTAAGTGAATACAAAGGGAGAGACACTTAGAGAAAAGAGGAGACAGCTTGCTTTTTTGAAAATATAAAACTGTAAATCACATCTGGAGATTGTCAAATTTACACAAACTTCCTTAATATTACAAAAGTTTTCTGCTTGCTTGAAGCTATTTTTTGTTTCTGAACAAATTATGCGTGAAACGAAGATAAATGGTTTTGTCAAACGACACAGCTTTGCCATGATATGATGAAATACCTTATTGTACGACAGTTACAAGTGGCTCTGGAGAGACTGAGGCTGTTCCTCACCAGGACTTAATGGGTCTGAGCATTGTGTTGCCCCCTGCTTAAGTGCCTTAGAGCAAGAATATGAATCCCTCCTGGGCAGATCAGGTCAGATTTGTTCCAAGATATTGTCAAGAAAAAGATGAAGGGGGAAGCAGCGTTGCTGAATTTGCTGGATCCCATAATCATGCGATCACGTGAGAATCCGTACTGCCAGGCTTCAACCTACACGCTAGTGTCTAACCACATTGGTGCCTAACCAATCAGTGAGGGACTACTGGCAGCTATGGCATGAGTGTGTGTGAGAAGCGACTGCTCAAATACAACAATGCTACGACGACTTCCCTTCCCATTACATGGTTTGTTGATCAGATTGGTTGATGTTCATCCACAAACCTTTGTGTAAGAAACCATACAGAGCAGTCAGGTTAGCATTTTAAAGCCAAAGCTGCAGTTCCTGTAATCAATTCAGCACACTGTTTTCCAGTAAGGACACACCGATCCTTAGTCCAAATGTGGATTTGTTTTTGAAGTTGTAAAACTTAAATCTTGGCTCCACACTGTGATAATGAAGACACTACCAGAAACTCTGAGATCTCTTACATCAAAGTAAAATGTAATATTGATGCTAAAATGATTGTTACAATATTATAACTACAACAAAGTGCAAAAAAAGAAAAGCAAGATCCTGAAGATACTTCTGCACCACAGGCTGTTTTTCCTCCTTCAGCTCTGATCTCACCAAACACCATTTTTGTGTTTCCCAGAAGGAACATCTTGAATTATCTCTCATAATTATACTCATGCATATCTAAGGCTCTGCAATTTATCCCAGTTCACTACCAGAGGGCCGTAATTCAGAGCCAGACATGTCTTCTTGTGATTTATGGTCCAGATTAGAGCAGAATGAGGATTCACAGGGCCATTCTCAGAAGCACAGAGTGTATTAAGATGGAGGAGATGGACCGGCAAAGCTGACCAGATGTTGCTCTCGGTTGCAGCTTAAATATATCCGTCTTTTATTGAAAATAAGAAAATAAACTTTTATTCTTGTGGTAGAAGAAGTCTTTCACAGATCTTTTACTTTAGTAAAAGTAGTAACACAGAGTTTTGATCACCACTGATCCGCCCATCCAAAGCTGCTGCTTAATTTAGCAAAATGCTAACACACCGTTTGATTCTTAAAAAGTGTATACTAAAGTGTCAAAAGTAAGTTGGGGACACAAGAAGGGTGTCACTACTTAATGCACGAAAGGTGCGGCTCCAAAAATACTTTAGGTTGACACAGTGTGGGTTTCTGGACTGCATTTTTGGGACACGCCGACTGAAAGCAGCAAACTCAGTCCTGCCTAATGAACTGGATTAAGACATC